CCCAATGTAGGCCCCATATAGGCCATTCTAGAACCAATATTAAAAATTATAGACATCGCAATATCGGTCCCTGGGTGCATGTTCTTAAAGGACACAAGTCGAGCCAATTTTAAACCTAACTTGGGTTTAAGGTGAAATTGTTGCTAGGATGGTATCAAAAATTCTTAACTCTCGGAACCCCTGTGACCCTTCCAAGAGGCTAACACGGAGGCATTCAAAAAGCCTGAAACTTGTTATGACCATGACATAGCTCAATCAGTGCCTGATACATTATAAGGCCTGAGAGGTCAAATTTTAACATTTAGCCAAGGGCCCATCATTTTCGGGTCCCTCTAAATGTTACATATAATTTCGTTTTGCGTTTTTCCTGAAGAATTGTCTATTAGCATTATGAGTTAACAAGGATTTAAATAAATATAAGTTCAAATTTACTAATATATGGTAATTTACTTATGTTATAAATAATTTAAAAACACTTCATAATTAAACAATAGGTAAATTTTGTTTAAAGTAACGAACAGGGGGTTCTGTGCCTAGGGCCCCCTCATTTCTAGATCGGCCTTGAGCGCAATAAGCAAAATAGTAAAAATTAAAATAAATATTACACATTTTTTAAATCTGTTTAAGTATTTTTACCCTCAAATATTAGTGACTCAGATTGAGTGACTAACATTATACGATCAATATAAAATAAATAAATAAATAAAGTTTCATAAATTTTTAAAGATAAAAATTCTAATATTCTCTGCTAGTGCTTCTTTTTCTTTTACGGAAATAGCCCGCCCATGATAAAGAAAAACGCAACTTTAAAAAAAAGAAGAAAAATGGTGTGAAAAGTAATTACTTTTAACAACAAAAAAAAAAAAAAAAAAAAAAAAAAAAATTTTNAATGTGTGTTACAAATTTTAGTAACCTTAAAATTATTCAGATATGTAGAGTTGAAATCCATATATTTCACCAGCTTTCTAATAAAAAAGCTGAAATGACTGTTACAGGCAACATATTTTTGAACAAATTATAACTCAGAAAAACATCGGTCATGGTAAAAATAAGTGACCACTTTAAAAAAATAGCTTTTTATTGGGAAAAAAAAAACTTTTTTTCTTTTCAAATAACTCTTAAACAGAAAACTCACTTGGAAACATTTTATCACTCATTCAGTATAAATTGATTTACGTTTAATATTTTTTTAAAAATTGGCCATCGAAAACATTAAATTAAATTTTTACTAAAATTCGTGTTCTTTACTCATATCTTAATTCTATTTCCAACCACTCAGGTAAAAATTCTTTTACCGTCGATTTCGAAATGGAAGGTTGTTTTCTCTGTGTAATCCAAATACTCGTTTTTATAAATTTTGTCGTGGAAGCAAATTAAATCCTATTTTGCTTCTATTCTAAGAGTTTATTTCTTGGGGGTTCAAAATTACTCGGATACGGAAATTAAATTGAGTGCTTGCACTTCAAGCCCACACATGCCCTATGACGTCATCGCCAGCTGATCGTTTATAAGCAAAATGGCGTCTTCAAGACAATCGAAGTTTCTCCACATAAGTTAGAACGTTAATTAACGTGAAGTTAATAAAATGCAGCGTCGTACCGTACATCGAATTTGTTGAAATATAATTCTTTCTCGCCTACGCTTTTTACTTGACTTGGATTTATTATTTGTTTATGTATTTTATTGTAATCGTGATAGATTATTGTTCAGTGTAAATAGCAACTTTGATGCATAATAAGTCTGTTTATGTTCTACATGGATTGGTGCCTATCTTTGTGTTAAGTAAGAAACGTATTGTGAAAGAATTGAAATCCATGTGAAAGAATATAGAATGTGTCACTTAAGAGAATTGATACTTGACGGGCTTGGTTTACTCGAAATAGAATGTAAAGAAAAGTTGCTAGCGTAAACAAATGCCATGTTTCAACAACCAATCAAGATCGAGATACTCATACTATGTCACTTGTAGATATTCCATTGTGATATGAAGACCAGCAAAACCGCCAAAATCTTCTGAACATTGGTGATAAGATAGAATATCTTACCGAGAATTGAAAAACTTAAGAAACTTATACTAAGGTAGATCTCAATGCACATAAATAACGTTTATAGTTATAGAATGATTAAAAAATTGAACACTGATAGTTAAAGCAATTTTTTTTAATAAATTGAAAATATCTTACGTTTAACAGAAGCTACACTAATAATTTTTTTTAAATTTAACTAATCATAAAATTTAATTAATTATGCTGTTGTTTCTAATGCCACTTGTCATACCAGCAAACCTGCTTGATAAAACCAAGCGAATTTAAGGTAGAGGGTGCGTTTCTTGTTTTTCAGAGGCACCATCAATGGCCAGGAATACGACTTCAGCTACACACACGTCACAGCCTGTTTTAAAGGGCGGACCCATTCATACATCCATTCATTCATTCATCCACAGATCTCAATTTTGACCTGAGACAGAGAACAATCTATCTCCGATTCAGTACCCCTAGAGGTATTGATTAATTATGGGAACTAGGACGATTTTGTGACCCGAGATATTCAACGTGCAGCAGTCATCATTTAATTCACGGGTTTACTTTACTTTCTTCGAACTCACAACCTCTTGGACATGGGCCCAAGACCCTACCAACGATGCTATCAAGGGCCTCTTCAATTAATTATTAAGTCCACTATCAGCAGATATCTCTACTTCACAAAAAGTTATACGTAAATCATTCTACATCCTAACAGCTAGTCCAAATTTCTTTCAAAAAATAATTTGAATTTTATTTTAACAAAACGTTAACATAAAAACATTTGTTTTTATTTCTATAAGAGAGCAACTATACATCCAAACAGCGAGTCCAAATTTCTTTAAAAAAATTATTTGAATTTTATAATAACAAAACCTAAACATAAAAACATTTCTTTTCATTTCTCTTAGAGGGCAATAAATTTCCTTGAATTATATCTTGTAAAATAATTGTTCGATAGCAAATTATCCGATTTTTATATTGTTATACATGCAGAGCTGCCAACTTTCTACGCTTTTTGAGAAAAAAAATTCCAGTGTAATTTACGTTTTAATGTAAAATTCTTTCTTTTGTAAAATTCATTTCAAATTATTTTCGACACCACTACATGTAAATAATTCAAAATTTAACATGAAACGCCACTTTGTACCAACTCTCTGATGCTGAGGCTTTAAATTATTGGCAAAAATACCAGCAATTCTGAAAGTTAGTTTTTATTTATCTACACCGTATAAAATGTTTTCAAAAAGAGTAGTAGTTGGCAGCTCTGTACATAAACGTTATAATACATGTCCGAGTATCCGGAACCGGCCGGTTAAAATTACAGTGCGCAAAACAAAAGCAGACCACCCTGAGTAACTTTTGATCGAATAATCAGATCTTCACAATCTAGGACTCAATGGTTCGAAAGGGTGACCTGAAATATGCTAACTACAATAGTTAGAGCAATCGATTTGGATCCATAAATGTTAAGTTTACTTTTTGTGTAGGTCGCAATATCTCGAAAACTTTTTCGAATTGAAAATTTTTTGCATACAATTATAAAATTCCTTTACCAAAAGATAATTCCATGCAAGAAATAACTGTTAGCAAACATTTATTTATTATGTATTATTTTATTAAATAAACGAAAAAATTATGAATTGTAAGATGTACAATTTTTACACCATTTTAAAGAATATAAATTTAAATGGCAAAATATAAATTTTGAGCGAAATCGGTCAAATATTAACTGAGAAATTGAATTTTAAAAATTCGATTTTTCAGGAACTGCTCGACTGATTTCGCTCAAATTTTGTATTTTGCCATTTAAATTTATATTCTTTAAAATGGTGTAAAAACTGTATAGCTTACAATTCTAAATTTTGCGACTATTAAATAAAATAATACAAAATACTAAATATTTACTAAAAGTTATATTTTGCATGGAATTATCTTTGAATAAACGAATTTTGCAATTGTGGGCAAAAATTTTCAATTCGTTTAAAAAAGTGCTCGAGATGTGGTTAAATACGCAAAAAGTAAAATTAACATTAAGGGTCGAAACTTGGGATCGCTCTCCGGGCCAAATTATTGGGATCATATTTCCCGAACCGCAGCTATTCCTTATATTTTAAGTGTCAGAAATCCGAATTTGTTGGGGGGAAAAAAGGCATGATTATTTAGAGAAAGGTATGATATCTTTTGTGTCTTATTTCGTAACTTAAAATATGGCTTACACTGATATTAGCATATTTGAGGCCAATCCTTCAAATCAATAAGATTGAATCTTAAGATGCGATCATTAGATCAAAAGTTATTTAGGGTGGTTCGTTTATTTTTTTTGCACACTGTACATTTAAAAATATAGGTCAGTAAACAAAAACAAAAAACTTGATCAAAATAAAACTACAGCTTTATGAGGTATTTGTACTAGAAATTTGTTTATCATTTTATAGAATTTACAATAGAGGTGGAAAAAAAAGATAAAGGATATGAAACAGAAGAGCACCAACAAAGTCAGGGACCAGCGATTCCTGTCTGGATAACTTTAGATTTTTGAAATTCAGTTGGAGATTTAATAGAACAATAAAATTTCATTGCGAGTATGATTTTTTTTTAACACTTGAAAAAATGATGGCATGCCTTAAAAATATTTACTTATTAATTAAGCAAAAACAGCTGAAAATTGCCAAGAGCAGCAGAAATTAAATAAGTTAAGAGCGCTGTCAAGCTTTAATCAGGTCAGATCAAATTTGAAGTTGTTGAGCTTTTGCAAGCATGGGAAGCATTTTAAGATATAGCTATCAAATTTTGTGGACGCTAATTCTACCCATATGGGAATCAAAACAAAATTTTCCTCACATTTTCATAATTTATCATACTTATTAGAAAAATGTTTTAGAATGGACAAACTGTTAAATCATATGACCCCCAGAAATAAGAAATCCCCATAAATAGGAGGAGTATTCCCCATAAATAAATAAATCCATAATTTACCTCCGTATAACACCAGTCGGGAGAGTAATCAGTGATGTTTGCAGTCCCTTCTCTGTAATCCATCGCTGAATGATTAGTCTTGGCAGCAAAAGAACCATTGCTTACGGGTGTCGATGAATTGCTACTGGACAGCCCACTGCTTGGAGCAAGGTCTGGATTTAGATCATCAAGGTTAGGGAGATCACTCAAAATATCAAATGTATCCATATTGAACACTTCCTCATCAGGAGTTGATATATCATTGTCAATGAAGTCCATAGGATTCAAGTCCACTATCACATTATCTGGTTGATGGGATGATTCCAACTTCACAGAGATTTGAGGGTTTGAATCTTGAACCACATATTTGGGCGGAGGCATATTGGCTAACAGAGTGCGCTGAATTTCGTCGTGTGACATGGCTAAAGTGTCTTCAAAGAGATTCATGGGTAAATCCTTTGTCTCTGAAGACAACTCCTCCATAACACTACAGAGATCAGGGTCTTTGTTTGTCGGCACATTTGAAAAATGAACATCCCTTTTCAGGGCTGATTCTAAACCCTCCTCCACTTCTGATTTGATATTTGGAGATTTTTTGATGGGCTTTGCTATGTTCGGACCATCCGAAGTATCCATTGCATTGGTGAGTGTATGAGTTGTTAAATTCCTCACGGCTGTGGCTGCACTAGTATCTTGTCCACACAGGAATGTGACAGGTGTAACTGATGCGGATGTCAAACCCACACCAGATGCGGCTGTTGCACTGTTCAAAATGAGAAGGCCACCTCCACCTTGAAGTTGGGACAAGTTCAAAATAAGGGAAGTGGCAGCAGCTGAGCCACCACCAGAGCCATGATTACCTGTAGTCAAGGCAACTTCATGTTTTCCATCCTGCAAAATGGGACGACAAGGAGCAAGAATAACACTGCCAGGTCGGGGAGTGACACCAGTGACAGCAACGGTAGCAGATACTGTTGCTCTTTTAGCTGGGGTCTCTTCTGACTTTATAGATGTTGTCTGAGTGGTTAAAACGGTGGTTGTTGTGGACGATGCTGGTGTAGTAGATGTATTTGAAACGGTTGTAGAGTTTGCAGCAGCTGTGCTCACTGCAGCTAAGACGCCTCGGGAATGAGTTTTAGGAGATATGATTCTGTGAAAAGTGTGAGAGCACTTTTTATCAGCTGAAGCATTGCCTTTAGCATTATTGTCACATGCACATTCATGGGTTCGAGCTGTTGATTTGGCTCGCTGTTTTTCCATCAACTGCTGTACGATAGCTTCAACTGTTTCAGCAGTCTTAAAAAAATTAAAGTCAATAGAGTCAGCATTAAATATTAAACTTAATGAGATACAGTATTTATTGAAAAAAGAGTACTTACCGAAATTTCTAGCTCATTATTCAAATCAGGCTCATTTTCACTATAAACTGTAAAAAAATTAATCCATAAACATAAACAGAAAATATTTAAAATTAGATTCATACTAATTCAAAATATGAATTCTCATGAAAACATAAAACAGGAAAAAAAATGGCTGCTTTTCTTTCAAAACAGAAACTGATGAGAAAAATTTCAAACTGAGTATGAAATTGTTACCTTACTTAAATCTTATAAAACTATAAAATAAGAATAGACTAATCTTGGATGGCTTATTTATTATGAATTAATCCACAGTAAAATGGATACAGACGATTGAAAGTTTTTTTAAAATTGTATCAATTATTTTTTGGGATTTTCTTTTGAAATCATAATCTGTAGTGTTGTAGCTTTTAGAACACCTTGAGAAATATGTGTAAAACCATTTTTGCATGATAAAAAAATCGAATTTTTTTTAGATCAGTTAATTTCACTCTTAATAAAAAAATTAGTGTAATGAATTAATAAAATAATTTAAATAAAACATAATACTTAGTTTACTTACACATTGGTTTAAGCTGTGAAACCAATTCCTCCTTAGTCCATTCCTTTTTGTCAGCACAGTAACTGAGACTCGGTGTAACCAAAAGCTTATTATCGTCACTGTATGGGACATTCAGATAGTGTACTAGTACAATGTCTGGATTCTATAACAGAAAATATTTTATTGAGCCAAAGCTTTAACAATATTCTTCATTTCAGAAATTACTTATTGAAAACAAACAATAGGAGAATTTTGGCGGAGACAATTTTTTTTATTTCTTAAATTATACTATAAATTAGTTTGAATACGAGAAAAAGTAATTTGAAAAATAAAAATGAACAAAAGGAACCTACTTGTAATAACCAATAGCAGCGACGATGAAATGTTGGAAGGATAGCTGAATGCACATAACAACCATAAATGCACTGTAAGAAATAAAATATATATAAAAGATTTTAAGAAAAGAATTCATTCTTTTAAAATAGCAAATGACTTAATTTTTTGAATAGTCTCCGTTTTATTTAATTTTTTTTAATGCACAGCACAAAATTATTTATGTTAAATGAAATTTCGATAAATTCATGATTTATAGGAGATTTGATAAACTTAATCAATGCAATTACTACTTGCAATTTACTAGAAAATAAGAATATTGTATTTTAAAATGAAATAACCACCACTATCACGAACAACACTATCAGGGAGGAACTTGCATTGCATACAGAGTGAATACTTTGCACAATCTCAGTTATTAATAAGAAACTTACAAGAACTTAAGAAATTAACTTCAAGAATTCACTGTGTATTGTATTAATAACACAGATTTAGACTGTTTACCACTTAAAATAACAAGACAGATTGGTCAGTCTAGTCCTGGAAAAAAATTAAATAAAATTAATATACTGGTTAGATATCATCCTAATCGATGGCTAACTTACTGGCCGCCCTGAGGTTCGGTGTTCGATTCTTAGTGTTAGTCATTTCTTTTTCTTTAAAAACTCAAAGCTATAAATTATATTGTAATTATTCTTTATTAGTTTTTTACCATTAAAGAAACTCGTAAAATGATTTGGAGCTTAACAATTAGCTTCATGCACAACGTGTTGCATGCACAAATTGTATTTAATATATCAGCTTGTTTGGTAAGCAAAAATATTACAATATGATTGCGATCTCATCAAAGTTGTGATAACAATGTATCTTTAATTTTTAATGTTATTTCAAAACCTAATTTTCAAGCAAAACTATTTATGTTCGCAAATAGAACGTAATAGAATTATTTGGGGAATGTTTAGACATAAGAAGTGAGGGTACATATGTAAGTAAACAGAATTAATTTTAATACATACATTTTAAGTGAATAATTTCATCTTTTGTAGAAAAACTTTTATTCTAGAAAACAACTAATATTGCAAAGCAATAATCAGGGTTAGTGAGTGGCAGCCAACAGGAGGCTTAACCCCCTGATGTAAAAAAAGCTATGTAAAAAAAAATGTCACCTTTTGTAATAATTTCATGTTGGTAAGTTTGCTTTGACTGGCCAAAATCGACGACGAGGCCAAAACTATTAACGGACTGGCGAAAATCGAACTGGCCAACGAACTGGCCAAAATCTATAGAACGGAAATCGGAAACTGAAATAACCTTAAGCTAGGCAGAAGTGAATAGTTTTTGTCGATAAATCTCTATTTTAGTATTTTGTCGAAAGCGCTTTTTTTCACGAATTTATATATTACGAATTTATTTGACGATTTATGATTTATATCACGAATTTATTTGTTTTATTATTGTCATTAGTTATTCATTGAAAAATGAGTCTCAGTAGTGCTGCTTTGCTTTAAGATTTTATACTATAGCACATATATAATAGGCTTAACGAATTACATGTCATTTATTTGAATTCAAATTTATTTTATTGACTTAGTATTTACTAAAAAGATGTAATTTTTTTTTAAAAAAATGTTGTTATATGGATTTGAATGATTGTTTTGAATTCTTAGAATTTTGTGTATTTGCAATGTACCTATGTTAGTAGCAAGCGAAGCGAGCTTGGTTTGCGAAGCAAACCATATAAGATTGAGTAGCAATTTTCGGGGGTTGGCGAGTGTTAGCGAGTAGGGGGCGCAGCCCACTAGTTATTTAAAATATTTGGTTGTGAGTGCTTACAAAATCAATTAGAAGGATCAATTACTTTCCAAAGACTAACATGTGATCATATTTGAACAAAATTTTCAATGAAAAAAGCATTTTATAGTTAGATTGTATTTAATTTTTTTATCTGTAATATCGAGAACAATGCAAAGATAATTTGAGTTTTAAACTTACATCACGATAATAAGTAAAAGCTAACTTTTTGCAACAATTCTCTCAAAAAATCTACTTAATTCACTACAGTAACCTTTTATATGTGAATCGTTGCATACATAAAAGCAGATAATATTAAAAGAAAAAAAAATAAAAGGACACTTACTTCAGTTCCTTGAACCTTGAGTTTCATGTGATCTTCCCGAGTGGTTTTACCATCTTTCCTTTTCTTCCAACAATAACCATCTCTCCGATAGCGAACCCTTTTACGGCTATATAGTAGCATAGAGCCACTCTTCGGCCTATTGATAAAGGGGAAAACATTGTTTTCACACTTTTTAAAACAAAAATTCACAGAACTGAAGAAAAAGAAAGAGATCATACCTGATTTTGACTTCTTTTGATAACCAGTCTTCATGACGCTCAAAACTGATAAGCAGCGATGCTATTTCCTATAAAGTAAGCACACAATTAAATATATCTTTATTGCAAGCAAAAAGGGAAATAACTTAGCAATAAAAAAATAAGATTTAAGTAGTAATTTGTGAATCGTTAAAATTTAAATGAAGACACTATTTTGTATTCCTTCTGTTATTGTTTTTTTCATACTTTAATGTGAATATATAAAATCATGTCATACAAATTAATAATAATGTCATATAAAATTTCACTTGATTTGGTTCACTATTTCGCGAGATTTCAGCAAAATGTGTTTGCTTTTAAACATTTGGGCATGAGTATAAATTTAGTTTTATTTATTCAGCCTATTTCATTATTGACCATTTTCAAAATAAATTATAAGAATGCATAGAATATAAAATTCAAACCACATAAGTGAATGATAACAGTCATATTTTTACATTTCTAAATTACAAGTTCTGAACTTGCAAAACATACTAATACCAATTCACTCCAAAATTTTGATTTTTTTTTTTTGGCCACTTTATTAGTACCAATGGGAGTTGGAAAAGTAAAATTTTGGAGTAAAGTTATTTGAAAATAACTACTCAAGCAGCTTTGAGCGATATTGAATGAAAGTGACCAGCGAATAAAAACCCCTTTTAATATTTTACTTCAAAAAAAACAAAAAATTAAATAAATAAAAACCGGATAAGTAGATTATTCTTTGAGCACTTCAGATCTTACTTCAACAATAATTATTCTACAATTTACATAGTGATAAGTTAAACAATTTGCATCACAGGCTTCCATTGATAAAATTGTGAATAAACAACTTTTCAGGTGTAAGAATTATCTATAATTAAATAAGAATAAAAGGCAGAAAGAAAAATTTTAAAATTGATGCCTGTTAGAAAAGTTTTACCATAAGTACTTAGAAATAAATTATACTTTTATAAATTATACTTTTAGCGCCAAAAAAGTAAGGAAAAAAAAGAAGATTCCACGAGTATTGCATTATACTATGTACATATATATATATGCATACAACATAATCAAGTTAGATATTAGTTCAAATTGTTCATATACAGCGGTGGTCAAAATCACTGCATTTTAAAACTGTCAATTCATTTCATTTGCAAACTGTGGAATGAATTAGGAACTAAAAAAGAAAGCAATTTTTCTTTAAATTTTTAAAGATTTTAATAAAACAGAAAATATTTAAAGTTTCAGTTAAAGATAATTGTCAAGACAATTGAGATTAAGCATACATTCTGAATTTTTTTGACTACAAAAAATATATGGCCTATAGATCACTGTTATCTTCGCCATTGTTTTTATATGTTAATTATTTTAGGATAAAACAAATCAAAATGCATCTAAAAGGTGGCGAAATAAAACCTCGAAATCATTATATAACTTATCCTATCATTACACTGAGAAAAAATGCTAAGAAATGAAGCTTAAATCGGACCTTTCGACTAAAACACCCCCTTAAACTTATTAAGAATTCAGTAATTTTATGAAAACGAAGCCCAATTAACCATCTTGATTATCGAAGATTTTTGGTAAAATTGAGGGAGTCATTAGTTAATTTATTACTTTCCGCGAAAGTAGCGACAAATATTTAAGGTGGAATTGAATAGCTTTACAACTGGCGATTTGTATCTTTCATCTGATTTTAAAAATGATCATTTCCAATTAACAACACAGAAATTAATGAGTTTTTTAAAGTGGAATTGAGTCCATACTTTTGAACACAATGGTATATTACGAGGAAATAGTGACGAATTGATAATGGTGCTTTTTATTTATTTATAATTTTTTTTTAAAGCCATCAAAATTTCCTAAATGTTGATGTCAAACTATTATGAGCTGTTCAATGCTCCATTAATGAAATTCCATTGAAAACTTTTAAAAGTTTTTGTTAAGAATAAAATAACTGTGGAATTAAAAGTAGCATTTTTTTTTATTCCTTTGCAAAAAATATACCCTTTTTTTGTAATTTAGTGGAGCAAATTATACCCTTTTTAAAAGTGGTATGATGTAAGTATATAGCCTAAAAAATGTCCTGATTATTTCTTTGAACTCCTACAAGGTCTGCAATATGCTTAACATACTGCAGCAATAAATAAAATGATAATAACGAATGTAGAGTAAATGACTGTTGAATATTTTTTGTCAGCATTTTTTTCAACATAAAAAATGCCTTCTGAAAAATTATTGAAATAATAAATAAAATATTAAAATTGACACTCATTTGTTTACACTGATAACAATAAAAACAATTCTAAACGAAATATAAAGAATAAATTTTTTGGTTTAATTTTAAAACTACCAGATCATAGATTTGCTTACGTTCTATTTTATTTTAAGTGTCTTTTTTTAGCGACATAAGTTATTTTAGTCTATTTTATTTAAAGACATCTAGACTTAATCTAACATTTGCACACATTCATTTAATTTACATAGATATTTCTGCAGGTACGCAAGAAAACCTTTAAAAATTATATGCTCCTTTTTATTTAAAAAAAAATGTAGATTCCCATAAGCATTTAAATTTTAAAAAAAATATGAAGAAATTCAATATTTTTATTTGGTCTATTCAAACTAAAACTAGGGTAAACCACCCAGTGAAGGAATATTTCATATATATTGATTGAAAAAAAAAAAGAATTCGAAAGTTTCTCTTTCGATTGATTAGTAACAATAGCGTACTGCCAAACAATAGGAAGTCATCTAGCAATGTTTTGGATTACCTGGTCAAATGGACTTCTCTGGAAAAAAATTTTGAATTTTTTATTATCTCTGCAACACCTTGTTTCTTTGTTTATATGTTTAAAGTGGAATTAATTGCATGTAATAGTTTTATTTTTCTCATTGTGAGAAAGAGAATTCAAAATATAGTTATTGAAGTTACGTTTTATTTTTTTTTAAAGTTTATTTCATAATAAAATACTGAGATAAGGGGGTGTTCATTCACTGGATCATCAAACGATGAAAAACCAGTGAAGGAACATGTGTTCCTTTACTGGGTCTTTTTCTAAGTTAATGAAAATAAAAGATAAACTTTAATTTTCTTGTATCTTTAGTGATGTTCTGCATCGAAAGTATGTTAAAAATACGAAAAACAACTTCTAACCAGTGAGGGAACAGGCATGTTCCTTTACTGGGCATAGATTTCCCAGTGAATGAACAGTATGTGTTAATATGTTGACACTTTAATTTTCAATTCATGATTACAAAAAAAAGTTAACATTTTCCAAGTATTTATATGTTATAATTTCAAGAATAGGCTTGTTTTTAAATATTTGTATGGCTTATAAATTCATAAAGAGCATTAAAAAATAACCAAAATTAAGTGTTCCTTTACTGGGTGTTCATTCACTGGTAAGAGCTGTTCCTTCACTTGGTCTTCTTACTACTTGTTATTTGAACCTCCAAAACTTTAAAACAATATTATGTAAGTTCTCTACAATTTTTTTACATAATTTGCAATTAGTAATAAATATGTTGACACTGTCATTTAACTAAAATTACGAATTTTGAAATTAATATGATTTTTTAAAAGGCAAGCGAAGCTTAAGTGTTCCTTCACTGGTTAGTTTACCCTACTAATGTATACATAATAAAAAATTTAATTTTTTCAAATTTGAAAAAAAAAACTTACTTTAAACTATGTTTTAAATTGGCCAACTTCTAAATGAAAGTTAATTCAAGACTTTTTGCGAAAAAATTATAACGATTTTATTATACATGTCTTGATGTGATTTTAGGCACAAGAGAGACAAAATAATAATAATAATAAGAGTAGTTAAAAAAATTCCTAAAATATTTGTATTTTATCATCGATTTAAAAATTAAATTTTTTCAAATGATAGATAAATAACAATTAAAGTCAGTTTTATTTTACTAATTTTACTAGCACTTCATATTTTAACAGTACGATCATATGAATTGTTTATATATAGCAGTGGTCAAAATCATTAAGAATCTGATTTGTTAAATCAAAAGTAAAACAGAAAAGCCTTACATTTTCAGCCACTTTATATGTTCAAAAAAAATTTCCCTTAAATTGCCCGCGCTAATCAAAAGTTCACTTGTTTTTCATTCCAGTCACAAATGCTCATATAAACTTGACAAATTATTTTATGCTATAAAAAATGCAAATACACAATAAGTATTCGAATGTATTATGCATACATTTTCTCCGGAAGATCTAAAAATATATATTTATAGATATAGTTTCCTTCTTCAGTGGACAACAATTTTGTATTATGTTTTCTAACTTAAAGTTTCACAAAATTATTATATTTACTTTGAAAAAATTTGAGTGATATACAAATAGTAATAGAAGGAGTCAGATAACAAGAAACGATAAAAGATTCATGATTCTCTTCAGTTATTTCTCTCTCGAAATCCGACTAGACAACGGGAATGATATTTTTCTAGGGCAACGACGTGACATCTGTACTATTCCGTGATCTTCCTGAAGTACAGTCTTCTTCTTTTTTCTTTCTTTTTTAGATAAATGTGCTCGTAGATATTTTTATTTAGGAACTTTCTATTTTAACTTCACAATCATTAGTCACAGGTCGAAAAATAAACAAATAAATAAAATTAAAAGCTCTAATTATGAAACTATGCTTGTATTCTATTTTTATTACAGGGAGAGCCGTAATCGCAGTATTTAACATACTTTTTTAAAATTTCTATGAGAAAAGAAGTCATAAAAGCATATATACTTGATGTCGCAAATTGAAATTAGTATTTAATGTTGAAAGTGAAAAACTTAATCAAAATTAGGCAAATAATTATCGAGACTAATCAAAGAAAAGGGTGTGACTATAATTAACACTAGCTTATTTGTAGAATGAACAATAAACGTTTGCTTATTGTTAGAAGTGAATTTTTCATGTTATTTAATAAACTAATTAGTTGTACATCATGATTTTGATCTCAACATTTGCAACAATTAACAAATCGTCAACTTTATTTATTTATTTTCTTGATACGTAAAATACCATTTTCGTACCCCATTTTGCCCCTTTTTATGTCGATTTTCATGGTATCATTTTTAGTACTAATACCAAAAATATATAAAATAATTCAATAAAAAAATTTAAATTAATTAAAAAAGAATTCAAATTTTAATTAGAAGTACATTAAAACGTATTGTAATTCTTGTACTATATGCGTATTCAATGAGTGAGAAATCTTGAATAAGAAACAATCATGATTGAATCAGAATCATCAATCTCTAAAGCACATGTTGCCAGAATTGATGTGTGATATATACGCAAATAAGCAAAGAGTAAAATTAAGATTAAAGGGTCCAAACTTAGAAGCACACCTGACTGAACTATTGGGACCATATTTACCAGATTGCGGCTACCCCGCATATTTTGGGGGTCAGAAATCCGAATCTCTCGAAAAAAAAAAGGTATATTTATTCAGAGAAAGTACATCTTAGTGCCTGATTTCGTAGCTTAAAATATCACCTGCACTAATTAATTAACATATTGGAGGATTACAAATTTCGAGCTTGATTTTTTAGCCCTTTGAACCTTTAAGATTGAGCCCAAGAACGNTTGCCATACAAATTTCTATGGTAGCCATAGGTTGCCATAGATTACCATAGGCTTCTCTATGGCAAATTTTCCTAAGGGGTGTCCGTTTATTTTTTGGAGCACTGTACATTTCAAATGCAATCACTTTGAGAAAGCGGATTCTCGTCTTGAAGCATTGTCTCAAATCGTAATCTAGACGACTAACCCATGTTAGACGGTTCCTTCAGTTGCATTTAAGAAGGGTTTCAAAAGCTAGACCTTATCACGAAGTAAAAGATTATGAAAATTTCGTACTTTCAAAGTTAAAACTTTTGAGCTTCGGTTTACTTAGAAATCATTAATTGGAATTTTAATGTTGTTATACCCTTCTCCACAGATGTACGAGTTGAGTGAAGATATTATATCAAACATTAATTCTGACACTAAGCGTATCAGAGAAACACCAAAGGTGTGTGCAAAACTTGAAACAGAGACTTAGAATAAAATATTTGAACATGATGCTAGAGATAGATATGGAACCGAGCTACACTAAAGTACAGATCAATTATGTATCATTTAACAAACAAAAAGAACAGATTTCAGATGTGTAGATACAAAGAAGAAACCAAATACAGCAAAACAAAAATGCAAATCAAAGACAGAAATTCTTAGTAAAGTATTAAGAATTTTGTCTCATTCATCCACAATAATTATTTCCCGGTCGAATATCAAATCATATAAGAGGGTATTTGCATACACAGGGTTAGCTAAGTTGCCTCATAAGATTTCAGTAGGATTAAGATCAGGATAACGGCTTGGCCAGTTTTTCTTTCTAAAACCAATTTTTAGTTAATTGGGACGCATGACATATCGCATTGTCTAGCTGAGATTTCCAGTTACCCACCTAGATGTGGACCAACAGATATAAGGTGTTGGTAAAGTAGTTGTAGATAACAGGAGTCAATTTTTCCAGAAATTCGCTGCAGATCACATTTACTGTCTATCGCTAAAGCTCCTCACATAATCTCCGAGCCACCACCCTTAAGTTCTGTTTGTAAATCATGCCAGTAGTAATTATTACCATCCGGGTCATCCAAATTGAACATCTTTTGGTCAGAAAAAAAAATATTTTTCCAAGCAGTGTCCTAGGTCCTGACCTCTTTTACCCACTCCAGCGTCTCTTCGTTATGATGCTTTGATAGTCTAGGCTTTCTTTTCTTAATTTTCGAAGAACAATCTCGAAGCTTGATCTCAAAGTTTGCCACACTGTTGTATGGAAGATTGTACCATTTGCCTGAGAAGGTGTTTTGGAAATAGAAAAGTTCTGTTTCGTTGCACGTTTGAAAATATATTTATTATCTCGAGCTGATAATTTACGCTTCCTACCGGATCTATCACATTTCCCATAAGAATCTCTTTTGCTTAAAACATTATGAACGTTTTAGAACGTTTAATTAACTTACATATTTCCCGTTCTGACTCCAGAGAGTCTCTAAAAACCAAATTTTTTGAATTTATTGCTCAAATTATTCTTTTCTGCGTGGCATTGTGAATTTTCTTAAGAAAACAAATATATTAAATTCTAGCTTTCTTTATAATATTATGATTTGCGTTTCCTGAGGAGCAAAGTTACAGTTTACATACGATTTTCAAAGAAAAAATAAAAATATTTCGAAAACTCAAATGATTTAGAAAAAGAAACAGGTAGTCTTGCACTTAAGTAAACACCCAGATTTTTTTTTAAAAAAATCGTTTGGTGTGCGAAACTAACTCAATTTCTTTTTCACTTTTTGATTTATTTGAGAAAATATAACTATTTCAGTTGCTTTTCCATTTTAGAATTGTTAATTTTATGAAGTGTGCCATAAAAATAAGTGATATTTGGGGTGGTCTTATAATTTTGTGATACACTATTCACATATAGAAAGGATTATTCTAAAACCACCTCATGAATAATTGCTCAACAAACTGCTTAAAAAAATTCAGATCTAAATCAGTGCTCCTGTTCTCCAGTACACTGATAGGCAGACTTTCAATTTTATATTTATATACTCTATTTTATATATTTTATATAAAAGAGAGTATATATTTCAAAATGTGGATTCAAGTTATTTTCTGAAAACTTTTTCAACAAGATAAGCCGCTTACTACAGGAAAAACAATTACCGAAGACTTAAACTGTCCATGAAATAAGATACAGCCAATGAAAATATTTGAAACTCAAACAAGTATGTAAGTATACTTAATATGAATTTCATAGGAAAGAACCAAAAGAAAAGCTTAGTACCTCATTTGTATTCCAGCGATGACGCTGGTTGGGAAAATAATCTGCTTTCGGTATGCTTTCCAGACTTTCCGGAAGAACTGGTCGAGTTTCTTCAGCTTCTGAAAAGAGAAAAAGAATTTATTTTAACTTTTTTTCGAAAGAGAGATTTAAAAATTTAATTTATACCAGCATATAAAATATATACAAACGTAATATACCTACAAGTTATTAGTGAACAGTATCTGATGATGTCAAAGAAAAGAACAAAACTCTGGCATATAATTGAATGAAAGTAAAATATTTTAAAAGATGTATGTAAAATTTTGTGCATTAAAAAAGTAATACTGATACGATATACAACTCAGAATATGGGAATGAAAACAGGGATGTAATAGAGAATGAATCAAGCACATAGAGGACAAGACAATTAACTAAAAAAGAATAAATTTCCTCAATATTAGGTTTAATAACAGATTGCATATGTACTATAAGATTTAGAGCAATTGAAGGAATATGCACGAAAAATAATTGCACTTTTCTTCTCTAATATCGAATATTTCTTAATCCCTTCCTTCTCGTTCCCGTGAAAATGACGGGGTGAGGTTTCGCCCCCTATTTCTCGCTCCCGTGATATTGACGGGCTGGGGTGTTTAATAGTAACGCGCCAATAAGAACAAAACTAATTCATTTTTTTTACCCGGAAAAAATTTTATTTCTCATTTTACACACCAGATGGCAGTACCAGAATATTTTTAAGATAATTGTAGATAGTTAGTTTATTTTAAACTAGATGTCAGCAATAATCAAATACGTAATACAAATACAAAAGCCAAAAAAAATAGGCACTTTTATGACCTTTTTCTTGAAAATTAGCCGATCGTTAAGGGGTTAATATTGACTTGACAATCAAAACCTCTACAAGACAACAGTCCATTAAATAGACTTCAAAACACGTAGAAGTTTTAAACGTTTACTCCCTTTGAAATGAAAAAAATTTTGAAATTGCATTTAAGTATTTTCAATGCAGAAAATATAAAAGAAAGAAACGTAAAGTGAAGGAAGCAGATAAACCACGTAGCAACTAACTTAAGTAAACAAATTGCAAAACAGATCGATATCTGTCATTAGCGAAAAGGGCCGAAGGCGGTAATATAAAAGCATCAACCCACTAAGATTTCTAAGTTCAATTTAGAATTAAGGAAATATTTGAAATGTCAAAAATTCTCGAAAGAAATTTCATTTTGTGGACGCTACACGAAACATTCGAAAGCAGAAGAATTCCTAGAACCGCCAATAGGAAAGAATATATCCGCTCTTCATTAAATCCGTTTCGAAACAGGAAGAAGGGTAGCAATTTGTAAGTGGTCCAATTACAAATGACATACACGCCCCGTTCGATATTTCTCTAGTTAGAGAAGGGAGTTAGATTGCTATCTTTAATGAATGTTCGTCTGGAATTAACCGAATTCAGAGATGAGGTAAGCTGATATAAACTAACGCAAATAAGTTGTCGCCTAGGAGTAAATATTGCTAATTACACAGGGGAACAAATTTTTTGTTGTATTTATACAAATACTTGGATTTTGCTTAACTCGGGTATGGGGATTTCAGATTAGTTTTGTTTCAAAAGCTACAGATTTTTTAAATAACATTTTTAGTCTATTTTTTGCCGAAATGTACTAATTTAAAAACGTTATATATAACAGGGTGGTTGCATAAAAGTTGCGACAAACTTCTAGGTGTAAGATTAAATTAAGATTAAAATTACATAGGAACCCATGTCCGAAAATGTCGTCGTACATGGATAGCAGCTTCTCAATTATGACCTGTTTAGAAGCACACGAAGAAACAGTTCATAATAGGGGAAGCGCCTTATGCGGCGCATGACGACATTCCCGGGCATGGGTTTCGGTGTAATTTTAATCCTGATAATGTGCCTTAACCCTACTAGAATTTTGTCGCAACATTTACGCAACCCCTTATAAAATATATCGTTTTCAAACTTCTACATTTCAACAAAAAGTAGACTAAAAATATTATTTTAAAAAAAATGCAGCTTGTAGAGAGAAACCAATTGCAGATTTAAGTATCTAAGATCTGTTTGAAAAATCTCATGCAACATAGAAAAAAAATTGTTCCGCAATTTTATTTTCTTAAAAACGGAAATTAAACAAATCGGTACAAGTTATTTCAGATAATGTTCTTATTTTTTAAAAAAAATGTAAGGATAAAAATGAAAAGAATGATTTAAAAAAAGAATATTGGGACGTTAAGGAAATTTTTATATTTAATGTTTTTTAAATCAAGAACATATTTCGAATGTTTCAAAATGGTTAAGAAGGTTACACTTCTAATTTAACGTGAAAAATCACGTTTACAACATTTTAAAATGAAGCATTTAGTAAGGATTTTCGCTTTATGCTCAAAGGCTTCAAGACTAATCTGAACGTAAGTCAGCTGGCAAGTTAAAACTGACATTTAATTTTAAATACCCTAACATAGCTGTGATTAAACACAAAAATTTAGAATGCGGTAATCATTTAAATAATATATTTTAACCCCCTAACGGTTTTGTTAGTAAAATATCACATATAAAACCAGTTCATCGAATGTCAGTAACATTCGTTGAAAAAGAAATCGCATTCAAGGGGTAAAACTTTCGATGGCCGTCGTAAAAACTTTGAAATTTGTTGTTGTTGTTTCTAATACCACTTGCCAATACCAGCAAGCCTGCTAAGTGAAACCTTAAAAGGGCGGACCCATTCTTACATCCATTCATTCATCCACAAATCGTATTTTTGACCTGATCCAGAGAACGATCTCAATCTCCAATTCAGTACCCCCACAATTTGTCACGGAATTGTTATCGAACTCACGACCTCTAGGACATGGGCACAACACCCTACTAACCAGGCTATCTCGACCTCGAAATTTGTGATGAAATTTAATATATTAAAGCTTCTCTTTAGATGCATTCTTTTAAAAAAAACATGTAAAAGAATAATTAAGAAATATTAGACTGCTTGTTTTTAAATTTAAATTTGACTGTTCTAATTATACCGACTTACATACAAAAAAATATATAGTTTGCACTAATAAGTTAACATACAAGAGTAAGTTCTGACTGGTGGTGTGAGAGAGTTAAACATTTACTTTTTCTCCCACTTTGTTACATCCTCTTACATCTCACATTAATTTACTTTTTTCGAAATGATGTTTTTTGCGCTCATGCAAAGCAAATTAAAATTGTAATTTTTTAAACAGCATCCTCCGAAAAAATAATTCATTTTAATTAAAACTTTCTTTTTCATCAAAAAATTATTCAAGTCCTTCAAAATAAAGAATTATCTAGTATAGAAATTTTTTAAAAAAAGATTTCTTGCAATGTCAAATTGCTCATTAGCCTACAGAAATACTTCGTATATCAAAAGTTGATTGACGATTATAAAAATCAATTACAGAGAAACGAAACGAGATAGAAATGCCTGGTTTACAGCTTAAGAAACCAGATATTAAAAAAAAAAGTTCAAAAATAAGTTACTTAGTTTGTAAACATATAGCGTTGCTTTAAAACAATGCTTTCCAAATAGTAGCTATTTGCTATAACAACAGGACGCAGTTTGACAGCAAAATTAATAGCTACCAGAAAATATTTCATGATCAGGACAGTCTGAACCGAAGGTTATGGAACGTTTTTCCAGTCAATAACATAATCTATTGACAAAATTTAAAACTATTTCTAAAAGTTAATGAAAATACATTTTCAAGTTACCAAAGCAGCAAAAAGCAAATCACACATTTTTTCTTGTTCTAATTTTCTTCAAACTATAAAATCGTTTTTCTTTTTTTTATCAGAAGCAAATTTGAGACTGATCAGATAAAGCTGCTATATCAAAATTATTCTGAAATATTAATTACAAAGTGTTGCATTATTTATGAAAAGTTAATCAGTAGACATAAATAACATAAATAGAAGAAATTATTATAAAAATTAACTGGAATACTAAAAGCTTATTTGGATTCTGAAGAGAACCTACAATTTATAAAAAATCTAACAATGTGGTATTTAAACTATTAATTTTGGAGCACAATGAATGAAATGCATTATTAGATTTCTGCAAAGGGTACTTATCACTCATTTAAAAATAAAAAATTTATGTAATTTGCCTGTTAATAAAATCTGCTTTAAGAATACGATCAAATTTTCTAGACTTCAAAAAGAGAAAAAAAGTTTGAGTTAATGAGTTGGGAAAACATGAAGATTATTCATAATTTGTCAAATGTTTCAACACAAACTATGGAAATATTAAATACTAATAAAAACCAAAGTCTACAAGAATATTGAGGACATTTATTAAAATGTCGAATGCTGAAATAATTAGATCCATTTATAATAATTACGTACAACCACATTCTATTTCGATCAATGAGTAATTGAAATTCGAAAGAAAAAAAAAATTTGAAATATTCATTAGTCACGCTTAGTTGCGAAAACGCATTAATTCAATTTTAAGTTTGTGAATGTCATTAGCAATATTTTGAAGTAACAGTTGAGAATTTTACTAAATTATAATTACAACATACCTTTTTTGTACTACGAAAATGAATTATATAATTAGTTCAGCATATTAAAATTATAAAATTTCACGAAGCTCTTTCAACTCTTCTGATAAATTAAACTTTATTAACATTACGTTGCCAATACACACGTTAACCATGAAGAATACTGAAATAATAAAATTTAAAAGGAAATTGAATTTTACCAAATTACTATTTTTTGTTTAAAAAATTTCAATAGCTAAATGATGAAATTTATAGCATAGTCTTTGATGTCAGTCTATCTTATAGCGGTATTTATTATAAATTGAAATACATAATGTTACACAACAGTAATGTTTAAAACATCAGTTATTAGTAAGAATATAAACGTCTGCAATCAGACATTAGAAATATCGATCGATGATAATAGAAGCAGCTTTGTTAATAACATTTTCATTGTGAATGAATTTCTATGGCAACAAAAAATAAAAATGTATACTAATTTCATAAATGACATCAACGTTTTTTACATTAACTGCACAATTCGTATTCTAAAGAATGACAACAAGAAAAATCGATT